TACGTCATCGCCCCCGTTGTAGCAATCCCGATGTACTTATGCCCCGTATTGCGCAAGGGTTGTTTTTTTTGTTGCTGTTGTGTCCAGGGATTTACTGAGACCTCCAAAGGCGCATCCAGGCACCCTGGGTCCAGCTTTCGACGAAAACAGTGGTCTTTCGGCTCTTCGTCGTCGTCGTCGTCGTCGTCGTCGTCGTCGTCGTCGTCGTCGTCGTCTCGTAAGGGACGCCGTCGTAGTCGTAGACGTGTTTGTGGTGGTGGTCGTGGTGATGGTCGTCTTCGTCGTTGTGGTCGTGGTCGTGGACGTGGTGGTGGCGGCAGTGGTCGTGGTGATGGTGGTAGGCGTGGCGGTGGTGGTCGTAGTCCTTTTCGTTGTCATGTGTAGCGAAGTTCGTAGGTTTTTGGATGTTTCCAGAGGTTTCGGAGGATTCGGAGAGTGTGGAGAAGTAGGAGGAAGAGGAGGAGGAAGATGAGGAGGAGGAGGAGAAGGAGAAGAAGGAGCAGGAGGACGGAGGACGGAGGGCGGAGGAGGATAGAGGAGGGAAGTGTTGCAGGAGGAGGAGGAGGAGGTGGAGGAGGAGGAGGAGAAGGAGTCTGATGATGATGATGATGATGATGCTGATGATGATGATGATGATGATGATGATGATGATGATGATGATGATGCTGCTAATGATGCTGATGATGCTGATGATGCTGATGCTGATGCTGATGCTGATGATGATGATGATGCTGATGATGGCGATGCTGATGATGCTGACGATGATGATGGTGATGAGGATGATGAGGAGGCGGAGGAGGAAGATGAGGCGGAACGGAACATGATCGACCCACGAACCCAGAAAAGGATACATACTGGTGACGCATGTACACGTTTTCAAGACACCAAAATTGGGCGACGGGGAATTGCACGGCTCAGCGTAACAATTGCGATATGCCTTGCCAGGGGCTGAGCTGTGCTGTGCCGTGCTGCATTGACATGTGCCGTGTCGTGGATCGGGTCGTTATTGGTTTTAATTCCTGCCCGAACTACTCTAGATCGTAACTCCGAGCTGTCTGAACGCACAGCTCGAGCTGATTGCGGTCGAAACGCTCGGGGCGCTCGACCAGCTGGAGCTCAACATCCGATTCAGTTCCGAAGCGAGACGAATCGAGAGGGGGCGAATTCGAACCAACGCGAAACGCACCGAGAATGGACGGACCGAAACGCGTCGAATCGAGACACGACAACGCATCAACACGAACCGAAACGATACGAACCGAGACAAAGGCTGAACCGACCGTACTCGAAGCGAGACGAGACACACTGAGACTGGGACGTCCCGAATGCGCCTCGGCTCAACATCGTGAATCCGCATGGCGTCTCCTGAAGATAGAGCCGCACTCCGAGTGGACAGGTTCCCTCGCCAATAACCAGGGCCGCGATCCTGGCGTAAATTGCGATCGATTCGTGCTGTGATGCACTATGCTGCGTCATGCTGCGTTGAACTGGGCTGTTTTCTTTTGCGTCGTGTATCTGCTCTGTGGTGCCGCGCCATGCTACGAGGTGGCTCACCAACTGGTGCTTCGAGCACCGTGCCTCGATCGTGCCATACTGCGACGATGCTGCGAGGGGACGCGCCGCTGGACGCGCCAGGGGCCGCGCCACGGTACGTGCAATGGGACGACGCGCTGCGGGGTGCGCCAGTGGAATTGCCGCCGGCTTCGCCGCAGGTCGCGCACCGGGGACTTGCCGCGGGACGCGCCATCGGGCGCGTCACGCGACGTGCCGGGGAACACGCTGCCGCGGGACTCGTCAGCGGGGCGGGCCCAGGGGAGACTTGCCGAGGGTCGCGCGAGCGGGCGCGTCGGGTGACGTCCCAGGGAGAAGGGGCCCGGGGGGACGCGCACAGTGATGTGCCAAGGGACGCGCCAGGGGACGTGCCAGGGGACGCGCCGCGCGACGTGCCAGGGGTACGCGCCGCGCGACGTGCCTGGGGGACGCGCCACGGAACGTACCAATGGACGCGCCAGGCGCTGTGCCAGGGGTCGCGCCGCGCGACGTGCCAGGGGCTAGCGCCACGGGACGCGGCATGGAACGTGCCAGGGAGCCTGCCAGGCGGCGCGCCAGGGGACGTGCCAGGGGACGTGTCAGGGGACGCGCCGCAGACGTGCCAGGGGACGCGCAATCAAGGGGACATGCGAGGCGATTCGCCAGGGGACGTGACACGGAATGCGTCAGAGGACAAGCCCAGGGACGATCCACCTTGCTCTGTGAGTCTTGTCCGCTGAGTCCGCGCCCTCGCCGCCAGAATCCGCATTCAAGCACGCTGAATTTGCGCTCCCAGGGCAGCGATCCATGTAAATGACGTCGCGTTCGTGTTCCTGGGGCCACGATCTCTTGTATATTTCGCTGCGTCTGCTCTCCCAGGGCTGCGGTCCGCTTTGAATTGCGCTGCGCCCGTGCTCCCAGGGTAACAGTCCTTTGTGAAGTATGCTGCGTCCACAGTTTAGAGCCAGGA